CCGCAATGTGGGGCTATCTTAACGAGGTTGGGTCATGGGTACACCTGTTGTGAAGGGGATCCCCTTCTTTATGCTAATTAAGGTGGGATGACTTCCCCACTGTGGGTAGAATCCTGGAAAGAGATTTTTTTTTGAACTGCGGAAGAGCAAGGGGGAAAACCAGCTAAGTATTAGCACGCGCTAATCCACTGCTCTCTGCTCTTGACTGGTTACTTCAAGTTCCTGTAGCCTTGACGTCTACACAACGATGGTCCCGTACCCTGAAGTTATGAGCCTTAAGTGGCTTTCACCAGGGTATTTTATCATAGCAACAGGAAATTAAAGGATTTGTTTTAGTTCACAATATGAGGGTATACAGTCTACCATGGCAGGGAAGGTATGGAGGCAGGGGCCTGGGATGGCTGGTCCGACACATCACCAGTTAGAAAGTCAAGAGACATGAACACGGTTACTCAGCCAGCCTGCTCCTTTGTTCCTTTAAGTCCACGGGACAGTCCTATATCATGTTAAGCGACAATGAAGACACTGCTGGAGGCACATATTTCAGTATAGAGGAAAACAGCGGTGGAAATAAGTGATCCTTGAAGCTGATGAGCACATGGAGCTAGACCCAGACTCTTGTTGAAGAAGTCTGAGGCGACCTTGGAAGTATCACTGTGATGCTGGGGCACTGCCCTTGGCCTTCCTGGTTCATTTCAGTCAGCCCTTTGCCCTCGTGCGTCTGCAGATCCAACCAATCAAAGAGCACAAGTATCTGATAGTCGGGAAGTGGTGGCGCATGCCTTTAACCCCAGCACTCGGGAGGCAGAGGCAGGCGGATCTCTGTGAGTTCGAGCCTGGTCTGCAAAAGCTAGTTCCAGGACAGCCTCCAAAGCCACAGAGAAACCCTGTCTTGAAAAACCAAGAAAAAAAATTTTCTGCTAAAACTTCATCTGTACCAAACATGAACAAATGGTTTTCTCATTCTTCCCTAAACAACACAGCAAGTATGACATCTGCAGAGTGTTCACATTGTACCAGATGTTATATGTAATCTAGAGATGATTAAAATATATAGGAAGGGACAGTGATAGGGGATATTTTTCTGTGTGCTGTTAACATATGAGTCTCTTATTGGTTGATTAATAAAACGCTGACTGGCCAGTAGCTTGGTAGGAAGTATAGGAGGGGGAAGGGGGGCTACCAGACAAGGAGAGGCGCCAGGAAGAGGCCATGTAGTCGACAAAGGAGTAACAGGTCTGGGCATTCTCTGTTAAGCCAAGATCATGTGGAAAAACTTCGATTAATAGAAATGGGTTAATAATTAAGAGAGAGCTAGCCAATAGGAAGCCTGAGCCATTGCCCAAACAATTTCTAATTAATATAAGCCTCTGTGTGTTTATTTGATCCAAATGGCTGCAGGACCAGGCAGAACAGAAACTTCTGTCTTCAAATGGGACTCAACCTGGGGCCTGAATCCACGACCCTGAGTTAGCTCAGTCGGTAGAACATGAGACTCTTAATCTCAGGGTCGTGGGTTCTGTCCCCATGTTGGGTGCCAAAATGTAAATAGAGTTCTTAATTGGTCTAAGTAATAAAAACCCAGAGGGAAATGCTGTGAGATCAGAGAGAAGGAGAAAACCACAGCTACAACTTACCTCCTTAGCATCTCAGCAGACCAGGAAGGAAGTTCCTGTTTCTCCCTGCTTATATCCTGTTTCTGCCCAGCTACCTCACTTCCTGTCTGTCTGTACAGACCTCCAGACCTCTATGGTTAGCGAGTGGCAAGCTCCATTCTCTGACCCTCAGACAGGCTTTACCTGTACAAGCAAGATATCTCCACAGGTAGACAGCTCAGTAAGCATATAGCACCTGGCCGGCAAGTGGATTTGGAGATTCCCAGCATCCAAGTCGGTGCTGAGGGGGATGACAGCCTGTCCGTGACCATATGGCCTTGAAGGCTGGCTAGCTAGTCTACCAGATGATACCACAAGCTCCAGGGTCAGCTGCTTCCGTGACAGAGGAAGACTTCACAGTCCTGGATCTGCATGCACACTTGCCCACACGTGGGTACCTACACATTCACAGACATGCACACAAATCACAAACATAGGAAAATAAAAAATACATATACATGGGGGATATGCACAGCTTATGGGCAAATACAATGTCACTTGATGGGATGGGAGCATCCATGGACCTTGGTATCCTGGGGGGGGGGTGTCCTGGAACTAGCTCTCCCATGGATACTTACAACCGTGTGGCAACCAAGTGAATTGCTGGTGTAAACTGGTGACTACCACAGATGCCCACCTAACCCATGGATTATTTTGGTGGGGGGGGGGAGAGAAGGTCCCAAAAGATGAAAATGTGGAGGGAAGGGTGTGCACCCAGGACGCCAATAGGAAACCCTCAGTCATTGCTGCAAGACCAGACTAAAGGTCAGTCAAAGCCTGTGACCTTTCAGGAGATGCCATGTCCTTTCTCACAGGGAGGACCTCATTGCCTGAGGTTTTAAATGACACATGCGCAAACAAATCCCACCGCTTTATCCTGAAATCTGTTTCAAACAGTTCATAAACATAATGGGCTTATGACGGCTTACAGCAACACGCTCGGGAATAAGAGCTGCGGACAATCTGCGAATACATAAATAGCCAGCTGCTTAAATAGGCTGGTTGCACCCCGAGTAGGAACAGGCAGAAATCCAGATCTGTGTGCATGACGCCCACGGATACCACCCAGAACACTGCCTCCCGTGTGATACCACAGGCCGCCAGCTCATGCCATGAAGACAGTGAGGGAAGCTTGGGCTCTCCAGGCCAGTGAGGACTGGGAAGGGATGCTCACCAGGGCTGGGTTCTACGACCTCCCAGAAGCTTGCATCCGCAGGTCAGAGTGGAAAAGGATCAGCAGCAGCAGGCAAGGATGCTTGCTGGAGAAGCCTGGCAGCCAGAGCTTGATCCTTGGAACCCAAATAAAGGTGGAAGGAGAACAGAACTATCCACCACCACCACCCTGACCGCCACATGCACACCACGGCATGTGTGCAACTCTCACACACAACAAGTGTAGCCGCAGAGCCATGAATGAACTCTGGGCCCACGTGAAATAGGGCATCTGATAGAAAAACTGTCTCTGTGAATACCCAAGAATGAAGAGGCTTTCCTAACAGGGTTTAAGGGATATGAAGAACAGGTTGTGTATCCCTGAGCTAAATGCCTGAGTCAGAAGTGTTTCAGATTTCAGGTTTAGGGTTATTTGGATGGATCTTTCTGGCTGTGTGTCCTTAATCCAAAGTAGCTCAAACTTGAGACTTTGTGGGAGCATGAAGCCACTTCAGAACATTTTGGACACTCGATGCTCAACCTGTATACCCACTGTTTGCAACCTGTGCAAGCAGGGGTCACTTTCCTCTTGCTGTGATAAAACACCACAACAAAAAGCAACCCAAGGAAGAGAGGGTTCATTGGCGGGGTGGAGGAGGTGGGCAATGCTGTAAACCCCAAAGCTGGCCCCCCAAAGCACACTTCTTTTAGCAAGGCTCGGCCTGCTGAAGGTTCCTCTACCTCCCCTAATGGCACCACCAACCGGGGGCCAGGCGTTTCCAGACAGGAATCTCTGGGGCTGTTTTTCATTCAAACCGCGGCACTTGGAAATTAAAAACCAATTAGCCCTAGCTGTTTCTGAGAACCGAGCGGTGTTCCCGCAATGAAAAGGGAAGAGTCTGCGCTAACAGTGGACATGAAGAGGCGTGGACATCCAGGGTGGAAGCCAACGAAATGTCCCTTATGTGCGCATGCGGAGCGTCACACAGGAAATGAAGCACAATGTGAAGATCCAATCGGGTGCAGAGAACGTAGACACAGAGTAACGCGCATGAGAAGTAAGCTTGGCAGCTGCGGTGCTTGACCGAAACACGGGGATCCAGGAGTGTCTCCACTCGAGGGAGCGACGGCCCCACTTCTCAGGGTTACAGAGCTTCTGATCCTAGCACACTTATGAATACAACTACAGGCGTGTACTTTCATCTTAGAAACGAGCCTGTATTTTGGTAACTTGTATAAAGAAGGCTTTGGTTCATTAAAATAAATAAATAAAGCCTAGCAACTCGGGATCACTTCTTTCCCTTTGGTGGGACTTACAAGGGCTTTTACCCCCAAGTCCAGTGTGCCTGGCGTCTTTATTCCTGCACTAGCACACTGTGCTTAAAACAGCAGCCCGTGGGTCCTGGCAGTCAAAGGGCAGATGCCTCAGACATAGTCTCTACTTAAACTGTGACCATCTGGTATAGTTTGGATGGCCGGGGCCCGTGGGCAAGACCAACAAACTGGTCTTAAAGTGGTTTTCTTAGTGGGAAGTCTACTTTTACAACAGTGATTTTTCTTCCCAAATGAACAGGAGGCAGGCCATCCAATTTACAGGTTAATTAACCCATTTTATGAAATGTTTGACTTCTAAGTGATTACGCACTTACTGTGCTCTACCTTCAGAATAAATAATGTTTGTACATTGTATGGAGACACAGTCAGCAGGGGCATTCTCATCTGGTTTCCCGATTTGTCGTCGTCTTCCTCCTCCTCCTCCCCCTCCTCCCCCTCCTCCTCCTCCTTCTCCTTGAATTTCTCAGTGCCCGAAACAACTTCAAGAAAGCAGCCTGGGCCAGTTAGGGGATACTAAACCACATTTTAATCAATAAATAGGAACAGTTGTTAACCACTTATTAGGTGGGGAAAAAAAAGAGGAACACATAGCGAATTCCAAAGAAAAAACGACACCTTGAAAAGGAAGTGCCAAGATCTTTACCCTAAGTGTCATTCGTAGAATCAGAGGTAACAAAATATTACTCAGAAAAACAAACTTGGACTATCTGAAAGAATTCCGGGTGTGTTTGAAATACAAAACCGCTACATGAAGCAGAAACAGGGTTGTCCTTCAGCACCTGTGTGGATGGTTTGGCAAACCGATGAAAGGACGAGACGACTAGTTATTTAAGTTCACATTACGGGCCAAGTTCAACCCCCCCCCCCCCCCCCCGACAGCTCTTGCTCTGCTCTGCAACCCAGGGAATCTCCATCCCCAGGGCCCTCACCAGCTGCTTTCAGGTACCTTGGAACTCTGAGGTGCTGGTGAGGCTATGAGGACAAACCTGGGGAGGCCTGGGGAGGCCTTGGTATCTGACTCAGCCCCGGCTCGATTTCTATCTCAGACAGAAGTAGCTTTGTCCTTGGCATGGCTCCATTTACCACAACCCTCTATGGTCCTAGCTCCTAGGAGGCAGCGCTGCCACGGTTCTCACTGATGACCAGGGAACCGGCCTCCTCTTACAACCTCCCAGTCACACCTGAGGTAAGAGATTTCCACTGTTGGCTCTTTTTCTTAATTCCCCACTTAAGAGAATTCCCTGTATTGACGCTTCTCCATGGAAACACCTAGAACGGCTTGTTTTCTGGACTGGGCCCTGCATACTAAAATATTAACTGTTTTCTCACTTCCCGGGGGGAGGTCTGCATAAGAATCTGTCCTAAGCCAATGAAAACAACCACTCTACAAAACAGCCACCTTTTCCAGGAGAGGCAACGAGTATCTCAACTATATTTGTTTGTTAAGAACTGGAATCCTCTTTGCCAAGTTAAACTAAGGTTTTTGACTTTCCATTGATGCCAACACCAATTAAGTCTTCTCCAGAGGTCATGTCCATAGCACGCACTCAATGTGATGACCAGGTAAAAGAACTGTGAACAGGAAATTAACCTTAAAAGGAAAGTACAAAGTCATCCAATAAACAAAATAATTAAAAAAAAAATCTAGAAATCCAGAATATCAGACATTGCCAGAAAACTTCCTCCCTGCTGAATCAATATACTTTCCTGAAATTAAATCTCTTTAACATTTCCGGGTACTTTGAGAGCATCAAAACAATAAAAGCAGACTAACAATTGGACTCATGGATGAGTGACTGCGGGCTCTCGGCTGGAAGGGAAGGATGGTCAACGGCCGAAGTAGAGCTCTTTGGTGAGCATGGAAACCATACACGGGATCTGCTTCTTCTCGTTGAAGCAGGGGTCGTCACACTGGGACTCGAAGTGCCTGGCTACCCTGTCGTTCACTCTGGTCAGGATCTGCATGATCTCCAGGTCTTTGCCATGCTCATCCAGGATGGAACAGAGGGCCTGCACAAACCAGGAGCCTTTTCCCGGGTTCCTCCATGAGTAATAGCCTTCAGGGAGGGAGGGAGGGGGGAGGGAGGGAGGGGGAGAGAGAGAGAGAGAGAGAAACAGAGAGGATCCATTAGCCAACCTTGCTAGCTGCGTCACCCCTTGGGGAGAATGGACTCTCAGCACTGTGGGGCCTGGATGTCTCAACATCATCTCCCTTTCTCCTGCATCTAAGTCTCCACTGAGAAGGCTGTGTTGAGAGCAGACATCACGGTGTGAGGTACTCATGAAGACACTCAAAATGCTTTGGGCACTCCAGCACGGATGCCAATAGCAGACGACGTCACTAGAGGCCAGTGACGGCAGACGCTGCCAGAGGGTCGGACCCCCTATGTCTGGGATACCGGAGATACCCAAGAGACTGAGGTGTGTGGAGAGTCCCCTAGGGAAGGCAGAGGACATGTCACAGTGTTGCAACACCTCATCACCCTTCTGGAATGGGTGCCGCTTCCTAGCCCAAGTCCAGGGGAGAGACCTATAAGAGCTGCAGAGATCCTGGGGTGTGTCTGTACGGTCAGGAGACGCCGGAATGAGGAGTAGAGCCCATTGGAAAAAAATGTTGAGGCAAGTTCTGCTGGCTGCTTTAGGGCCAGAGACGGGGAGGAGGCTGCTGACCCAGGATGGCAGGCCGTGTCAGGCAAGAAGTGTGTGATTCTCATGGACCATACGAGGTCTCTGGGAAGAAAGCTGATTGGGGGGGTTTCCTGGGCCTGGACCCAAGTGTCTTAAGAGGAAACCCTAGCAGACTCTGGAAGGAACACCTGACACAGAGGAGCAGGTCCCCAGGAACCCTGGACCTCACAACAGCTGCTGGCTTCAGTCGCCTGAACAATGCAGAGGCTGGCTGGGCTCTAACCCCTGAGCACGGCTCCCCCTTCTGCGACTCTGACCCTAAAGATATCTAAAATAGCTTCTTGCAAATGGGAAAGCCGGCGAGAGTCGGAAGATCGAGTTCCCCCAGCGCTCTAGCAAGGCTGTTGGAGGGCTCACACCTGCACGTCCAGACGGTTACGTGGGAACCCCTAAAGGACAGAGGTCAGAGGACACAAGCCCAGAGAGTCAGTCCATGCCCAGCCTCACCGGGTCACCACGAAGAGTGAGATCTACAAATCAACGCAGCGACGTGGCGTTTCAGTCATCATCTTGGCATAGACATTCTGGTGGGAGGATTGCCTTTGTCTGTGACTTTAAACAGTGTCCGCCGTGTTGTCTAGCGCCTTCGACAACGCAGCGACGCTGCCGAACTGTGGCCCCTTCACCCGAGGAGAGGGAAGCGTGCTCGGCGCCCAACGACAGCAAGGGCCAACACGAAGCTGCGTTCGGTTCACACAGAGAGCGGTGGGCCAGTCAGCGGCAGGCACCCGGCAGTCAGCTGCAGTGCACCGTGTCCTTAGGATTCTGACCTGCACTGAGCACACGGGCAGCCAGCAGCCCAAGCCAGGCGCAGTCACTCAACAATACACTCGTTTGTAGACGAAGTCTCATTCAACACAGTGGCCTGGTTAAGGATGCATGGACTATCATCTCCCTGGGTGTGTGCTCTGATGACCTTTGACCTCCAGGAGCTCTAGGGGAACCACTTGAAAGTACAGATGTCATCCTGTGACTCTCTGACCTGAAATAGTTTCCTTGCAATTTTTTTTTAAGTCAGGGCAAAGCTCAGGCTGCTTCGGCAGCACACACAGCCCACAAGAAGCTCTTATATATGCTTTCCGTACGCTGTCACACGCTGAGCTGTAGAGTGAATTGTGCCCCACCGCCATCCTCTGGAAGTCCCAGCCTCTGGTGTGATAGCCTCCGTGGAATCAAGTTAACAAGGTCAGCAGGGCGGGTCCCTGTCGCAGTAGTATTAGTGTCTTTATGAGAGGATACGCCAGAGCGCTTCCTCTTATGTTTTCTCTGCCGTGTGAGGAAGAAGGAAGGCCATTTATAAAGCAGGAAGAGAGCTCTCTTCTGTGACTAGGTGGTCGTGAAAAAGGTGTCTGTTGACCTACGCCAACCGACACATCTATGATCCCTTCAGTCTCGAGCCTGGGGAGCACACTGGGCCATTTGACCTAAAATGGAGCGATGACTGAGCTCGGGAGTCATAGGAGCACCTTCCTTACTGGTCCCTGTGGAGGAGTTCATCCTCTTCCTCCAGCGCCTGAAGACTTGCTTTTTATACATCTACAACCGGGTTTACTCACAATGATGTCCGCCAATGCTCGCACGGCCAGCCTCCCAAGAGCAGGAAGACGAACACACTTTCTATCCCATACAGTGATTGAAAGTGTGATGTCAGGGTCCTCACAGGACCCAGCCCTAGATCCTGCCAGAGCTGGGTTTGTTTTCCACATGTACTGACTAACACTGTGCTTCTGCAAAAGCCCTACAGCTGGGGAATTCTCATTCTGCCAGGGTCTGTACCCAACAAAGAAACGGCTTGTACTGAACACACTCTGGCAAACACAGGTAACAAGAAGCCACACTCATTCTGGGCATTGTGTGGTACCTGTCAAGGTCACAGAACAATGATCCTGGTCTGAGGCACAATACAAAGTGTCTGGGTACTGAAATTTGAGCCTGGACACATTTTTGAAGCTCACCCAAGTTCAATTAATTTTTCAGCTGCAAAAGCAACAATGACTTTCTCCATTAACTATACAATTATTATAAGGATGATGGGAGGGGGGAGATGCTTTGTAATTATTTAAAAAGACATTCTTATAATAGCATTGTTACTTATATGTACGGTTATTGCTTATTGTGAAACTCCTGCAATTACTATTAACACTAGCAAGTGACACAAAAGGAGAGAAACCCAGTTTGCTAGGGAGAGAAATGAATTCTGTGGTGGGCAGAATAATTGTCCTCAAAGATGCCACACCTAATCTGGAACCTGTGGACTATGCCATCCTGGACGACCAAGAGGACTTTTTAGATGCCGTGGGGAAACGGTCCTGGATTGCACAGGCAGACTGGGTCTCAGAGAGTGGAGGAGGGGGAGGGAAGAGTGTGTACGTGGGGTTGGCAGAGAGAGTGAGAGCAGCAGGGACAGAAGACAGGGCAGAGCCATCTGAGGTTTTTCTGGCTTTTGATGGGAGACAGGGCCACAAGCCATGGGATACAGGAAGCTCTAATGTGCTAGGAATAAGAGGAAGCAGATTTTCCCTCTGAGCTTCCAGCAGAGAGGCAGCCCGGCCGATTCACTTACCGACTGGGACTTCTAGAACATTGAGGTAAGATGTTTATGTGACCTGAAGTCATTTTGTCTGTAGGCAAGCCTGGGTATCTGCTGCCCTATTTATGGATAGTGCTTCAGACTTCAGAACATTTGGATGGGTTTGACTGGTTGCCATTTTTTTCCTTTGTGTGTGTGTGTGTGTGCATGTGTTGCACGTATGTGCGCATGTGCACCTGTGTGCAGGCACCTGTGTCCATGCTGGGTCTCTCCCTCTATTGGATCTCCACTTTATTCCCTGAGCCAGGCTCTTGGAGCTTGCAAGCTCAGCTAGAGTGGCAGGCAGGACAGTGCGTCTCCAGGGCACTATCCGCACACCCAGTGCTTGGGCTTACAGGCACACGCTGCTACATCTGGCTTCTATGTGGGCGCTGGGGATTCAGTCCTGGGTGCTCATGCTTGAACTGCAAGCAGCTTACCCCATGAGCCACATTTCCGGTAAGGAAATACTTGGCACCTGAAATGCTACAGCATCCAGACTTTTGAGCGTGTGTGTGTGTGTGTGTGTGTGTATGTGTGTGTGTGTGTGTGGTACTGACACTGTTTCAAACCTGGAAACATTTTCGAATTAGGGGTGCTAAAGCTGTAACTAACTACTGCAGCAAAGGAGACTGATACAGCCCTCAGGCCTGAAGGCTGATGGAGGAACGTGGGTTGGTTGGATCAGCTGACAGTGGACAGGTTACCTGGAACTGTGGAGTAAGCGAAGAGGAAGTCGGCTTCCACCGGGATCTTGTACCGGGGGTTGGCGTCAGTTTCGTTGATAGGCCCAGAGTCGGCCTGGACCCCGTCATCGAGCTCCGTGCCTCGGCATGCCTAAAGCATATCAAAGTAGCAATCGCACATGGGCTGGCACCAGCACCGCTCGTGCTGTTCCTGCCGTGCCCCAGGAGCTCAGCGGCCAGCTGATGGAGCGATAAGCACCTGGCTTGAGTCAATTTACAAAGCGGGGCATAGTGATGCCTTCCAGAAATGAAGCAAGCGCCTGTGCCAACCATTTCCAGGCAGAAGGCCCCAGCCCCAGTCAGCACTCCCCACAGAAGCACACCATCCCGGGCACCATGCCATGGCCCCCCACCCCTGATCCCACTGGCTCTGCGAAGCACCTGGATGAAGAAGAGTTTGGGTTTCTCTAACAGGGTTTTGCACCGATCTCCCCTAAAATGAGCCGTCAGGTCCTTTATCGGCGTCACGCCATCTTTCCCGTAAATTAGATTCTCTTCTCCGTGGCTCAGCAGGACGCAGGCGAAGCAGGCTGAGTTGCTGTGGTCCTCCTCCGAGGCTGCGGGGAAGCAATGTCGACACTGAAGGGTCACAGGATGGGCTCCACAAACAGCCGGCAGTCTGGGGCCCGGGAAGAGCACGGTATCCCCTTTTCAAAGGACCGGGTGGGGCCACCTCCCTGAAGGGACTGCCAGCTGCTGGGGGGAACTCTAGGATTTCTCTCAATCAGAACCCAGGCACCAAAACAGCCACTAAAGGACACTGGGGAGCAGAGGGACATGGCTGTCCTGTGGGCTGATTCTGGAACGCCACAGAGATTAGTTAACCTCCATTTTCTCAGTCTGTCTGTAAAAAAGAGGTGGTTATGGTAGTTATAAATGAGTTCCTATTTATTTGCTTATTGGACACAGGGTCTCACTGTGTAACTCTGGCTGGCCTGGAACTTGCTATGCAGACTAGGCTGACCTTGAACTCAGCCTGCCTCTGCTTCCTGAGTGCTGGGATTAAAGGCCTGCTCTGTCACACCCAGCCACAGTTACTATTTTTAAAGTGAAAGCATTTGATAAAGAAAACGCTAGGCCAAGCAGAAAAAGCCAGTCATAAAAAGGCCTTCACTCTGGTGAGATACAAAAATAGAAAGGAGGGTGTCGGTGGCCGGGGGAGGGGGAAACGGTGAGCGGTTAGTAGGTAGATTGCGCTGCTTTGGTTATGGAAGACGAAAAGAATTCTAAAAGTGACTGCTTAACTCCGCTCAACTGCTGTCTTTAAAATGACCAAAACAGTGACTTTGTATTACGCAGTAGAAAACAGAGTATGTATCCGAGGGACTCTAAGTCAGCACGCCACAGACACGCACGCGCACATGCATACATGCCTACTGTGTCACAGAGGCCAGGGAGCAGAGCCAGCTCATCAGCAGAAAGCAGGCAAGGAAATGCTGGTCCAGAGGTACAGCAGGCTCTTGAGCACCCGCAAGGAGAACAGAAACCACGACACCTGCAGGGAAACGGATGGAACCAGGGACCCACTGCGTTAAGTGAAATCAGCTAGCCTCGAACACTAAGACCCCGTGTGTTCTCGCTGGTGTGTGGAGCCTAGCTTTAAGCGTATGCAAACACGTATGTGTGTGCTTAGGTATGTGTGTAGGAAGGTTATTAAAACTAGAAAAGGGATCATGAGATGGGGGCAGGGGCGCTAAGGGGGAACGGGGAACGGAACGAGTGGGCTAAGAAGACAGGAAGGGAGGGGCGGGGGCACTGTGGAACGAAGTGGGGGTGGGGAATGGGATCAAAGCGTACACACGCGCGCGCACACACACACACACACACACACACACACACACGGAGCCCACCACTTTACATGCTAACCTAGAAAAGTCAATAGACAAACATATCAGACGGCTGTCAATACAGGAATCAGGAAAGGAATTGATCACAGAGCACACAGCTGACTGGCTTGGCTTCAACTTATCCGTGGCCATGACACTAACAACCTACCGGTTAATACCAAATTAGCCACAGTGGAGAAAAGCATTTATAGTTTCAGGGATACCGCCTACCTGCTGGCACTCATCCAGGTACTTTAGGTGAATCATATATAGTTCTGAAGATTTATTTTACATTTAACTGTGTGTGTGCATGCGTGTGTTTGTGTGTGTGTGCGTGCAAGAGCAGTATACACTCTTGATCACCGAGCTCTCCCTCTGGCCCCCAAGAAGACAATTAAAAGGAAAGTAAGAAAGTTTACGTAAAACCTTTATTTTTCAAACACACAGTTAAGAAAAGCTGAGCCCTCTGCTGTCTGTAGGTCCCTGCCTAATGAACAGGTAGCACTCTAGTTTCAGACACTTGTCCCAGGTGTGGGAGCACCCCAATGGCATCCCTTAAGGCAGGTCCAACCCATGGCTTGTGGACAGCACGTGCCATAGGACAGCTTTGAGGTCAGGCTCCATGCAAAGTGGGAAGCTTACCCAAAACACTGTGACTCTTCTAGGATTGATTTTGTAACTCTACGTGGTTCATGAGCATGAACTTTGCAGGTGCCAATGTCACTGTCACAATGCTAACAGGCCTGGTAGAGAGTAAACACATCTCTCCTAGAGACATAGCTAGGCATAGCTCTTAAAGTCTGGTCTGGTCCCATCGTTACCCTTCAGCCTCTCTCTCACCCTTCCCAAAGTCCGCCCACACGATCACAAGGTGGCCTGTCTACAACCCACATCACAGAGCCCGGATCCTGTTCCTCTTGACACAGGGGGTAGGAGAGGCAAGGACAGCTCACACTCACCTTTTCTAAGCAGGTCTTGCATCTTCGCACAAGAGCAGTCATTGTAGACAACCACGTCAAAGCCCAGACTGCGGAAGCACTTGAAGAGGGCCTCTGCGTCTTTGTCTGTCCCGTTCCGGACGTCCATACCTGTGTAGGGGAAGCAAGGAGAGGGGATGAGCAATGCCGAGGACAGATTCGGTAGGATCAGGAGCTGGCTGGGTGGGCACACTCCAGCACTGGCGCCGGAAGCAGAAAACACCTTTCCCATGTTACAGCTTAAGTGCACAAGGAGACTGGAGGCAAACTCAAGAGGCGGGGCTGGGCCTCCGAACAAGATGAATCTTCCTCAATGGTAACGGGAAACCACGGGTCTTGTGGTGGCCAGTATTGGCTGCCAATGTCATGATCTAGAACCAGCCAATTATAAACAGGCCATTTTATTACAGCAATAGGAAAAGAAACTAGGACAGGCTCCTTGAGTCTTAGCATGCAGCAGGGCCTAGACGGAAAATTCCCTGCACCCCTCTCTCCTGGACATGGGACACGGCTGTCTGGCAGAGGGTCCGGCACAGCCGCTCTCTGATGAGTGTCTGGTGCACTGTGGAGAAAGTGGGAGGATGGGGGGAGGCTGGCCCAGCCCCAGCACCCACCTGTCACTTTGTCGAAGTTTTTGTTGTTTATAATGATGCATTTCCCCATCTTCTCGAAATCCATTCTATACAGGTAGGTGGGCACTCGGTCCCGGGCAGTCTTGACGGGGCACGCAGAGGCATTTTTCTTCTTCTTCCTTGGGTTACAGAAAGTCAGTTAGAGACACTGGGGGCAGTCTGGGCCGCCGTGTGCTCAGGGAAGTCGTGGCATTTGCGAAGAGAAGACCCACGGAGGACAGACGGCTCTGCGTAACTGTCACGTTTAAACGAGGGACAAAGCTCCAGGCAAATTTCAGCAGATGTCAGTGCAAATGGCCGTCGCGATGTGGCGCCTCCCCAGAGTAGCCACAGTGTGGAAAGCAGACGGCTCAGTGTCTGCCGCAAACTTGCGGGGCTGGTGGGGGCCTGTCAGGGCGTCTACCGCGACCCACACTTACACCAACCTCACAGTGGAACTGCCCAGGGTCGGGCCAAGGTTTACCAGAAGAGGACAGGGTCACACTGTACACCACGCCCCAGAGAGGAAATAACCCGCAGTCCTGCTTACACTTAAGAGGCTGACGTGGGAATTACCCACGTGGCAGAGCGAAACAGAGACCGAACGAACCAGGACAGCATGAGGCACACAACCGGAAACCACGAGCGGACACGGCAAAGAGTTCATACGCGATGAGCCTACACAGGCGTAAGCCCCTCACACCGAGTCTGGAGAGATTTCGAAGCCAGAGGACCACAAACACCCTCAGGGATGCCAGCCCTATTTCTTTATTTCAAGGTGGTAGTGGTATGTGGATGTCCGTGGCGCAGGCGCAGGCACGTGTGCATGCGTGCATGTGTACAAGCGTGCTCACCTGTGTGTGCCTGGAGACGCCGCCAGCGTCAGGAGTCTTCCCTCTGTTGCTTTCCAATATTTTTTTTTAATTTTGAGACGGAATCTCTCCATGAGCACGGAGCTGGCTGTTGAGGCTGGACTGATGGCCAGTGAGCCGCCTGGATCCATCCATCTCCCACCCCCGGCTAGTGCTTGGGTTGCAGACACTTGCTGCCACGTCTAACTTTGATGTGGACGCAGGAGAACTCAGGCCTGCAGGCTTGCACACCGCAGGTCCTTTACCCAGGGAGCCGTCTCTTACACGCCCATGCATGGACTGGTGGCGGTTATACGCGTATGTCAACTAAAGTTCACATATGTAGACACCTTTCTGTGCGGATGAATGCTTTACCGGCACTTACACTAATGGTGGGGGGGGGAGAGCAATTTTTAGAAGAACTGTTTTTAAAAGACTTGTCCCCCACTACAACAACTATGGTTCTATTGGGCAAAACCACTGTTGTGACAGCATGAACATCACGGGAAGGGCAGAGGACCAAATGGGACCCGAGAAGAGGAAGAGGACGGAGTGGGACTCAAGAGATGGGAGTCTTGCTGGTCTCTTCTCCAAAGCGAACTTCAGGGAGACAAGAGTTTCATCTGGTCCGCAAATCACCGCCCCGCCCCCCCCCGCCACGCCTATAAAGACGCTTGCCATGTAATGTGCCGAGTATATATTTCTTATACAGCTCTTCACCAAAGACAGTAGAGCCAAGGCCCTGGCGGAAACCCAGTTGGTAACTGATACACGTGCCTTTGGGGCCGGTGCCCTGGGGTTTCCCTGCACTCTTCTCTGAAAGGTCGCGTTCTCTCTCCTCCCCGCTCCTCCTGCGGTCCAGGTGGCAGATGAGCTCAGTATCTCCAACTGCCGATTCTTTCCTTTTCCAGTACCTGTGCATGACTGCACCCTACATCCTTACAAGGTCATGTTTCTTTCCACAGTGCGATTTCATTTTAAAGAGCACCACCCAGAAGCTGACCTCTGCTTCCCCTTTTGTCTGTCCACGCCCGTTTGTGATGATGTACTATTTACGATCTAATAAAACTGGCCCGGAGATCAGAAAGCAAAACTAGCCACAGCCACAGAAGCTGGGCAGTGGGGGGGAGCACACCCTTAATCCCAGGATTCCGGAGACAGAGGCAGACGGATCTCTTGTGAGTTCAAGGCCACCCTGGGCTCCATGAAAGAGAATCAGGTCTAAAAGAGAAACAGAGCTCTCACGCCTTCAGTCCCAGCACTAGAGAGAATATAAGGAGCTTGGTGCAGTCTCGGGCTGCCGTCTGAGATTTGGTAAGGGAGCAGCGAAGTCTGGAGATGCAATCAGAGGTTTGGTGGATTGCCACTTGGGTCTGAGCACTGGTAGAAGTGAGTGCTGTTAGCGGCTGGGCCACTTTGCTCTTACCTTCCTGTCCTTAGATGACAGGGCTATGGGACACTGGGCTTGGGGTAGGCAGACTCTGGCCGGTGAGTCACTGCCCTTTGCAGAGTGCCAACTTCCTTTCTTATTAATTGGAGCTAAGTCACATCTAGCAGGTACAGCCTACTCGCATTAGTCAGGGCTGTCTAGAGGAACAGAACCGATACAACGACTACACATTAAAAGAGGCCTCATTAGACTGCCTGGCACTATAGGAGGAGTCCAACGATGCTGTCTCACAGCACAGACACAGAGACTTCAGCAGTCACTCAGTGTACGAGCCGCTGAAGGAGACCTGGGTGTTCCTAGAGGGTGCTACTCCCCTGGCCACACTGGGAGCCTAAAAACACTGGTTCCAGCGTCTGCCAAGGAAGCAGCAGCAGCAGAAACGGAGCAAAGAAACCCCACAGTGAGGGAGGACAAAGGAACGATGGGACAGTCTTACTTCTGCGTCCTTTTGATGTCGGAGCTGAGATGGGGCTTCCCACGTCCCCTACGGCAGGCAAGACAGAGTCTCGATGACCAGTGATTCTCAGTGGCCGCAAGCGGACATTTAAACCACCACCGTGGCAGAAGGGAGATAAGGCAGCTTGAGTCTCCCCAAGGAGTTTTCCTGAGTGTAAGCCAAGTGAAATTCTCTACATCCAAGGACATGCCACAGGGGCAGGGCTGGGATTCATTTCCTCACTGACACCTTCTTAGTGGTCCCACAGATGGTGTTCCCTGTGTGTCATTAAAATGTAGATGCACAGCCCCTCACCACAGGAACTTTCTGGTGTCGGTAGATGTGTGGGAGGTGGGCGGGGGTCCAACACCTCTAGGGATCAATAACAACAGTTAACATTTGTCAGAGCCCATGGAGCTCGCTAAAAGTCCCAGCTGCGTTTCCCCATCGACTCTCAATCAACTCATAGGTGGGTAGTTCCCACCAAGATTCCACTTAAAGACAAAGGACGGAGGCTGGAGTGGTTAACTGGCTGGCTTGGGGGAGAGTGAGCACACAGGAGCCATGTCCAAGTGTGTGGCCTACAGACTTGTCACTCACTGGACAATGGTGACCCCCCCCCATGGAACCAAGCACAGACAGCCTTCTAGATAAGCAACTGTGAGGAGTTACCTGTTCTCAGAGAGGTCATCCCTGGTTCTAGGTGTGGTGATATATCATTTATGATCTATTAAAGCTTGCCTGAGGATTCAGAAAGGGAAATCAGCCTCAAGCAATAGAGATCAGGCAGTGGTAGTAACACTTTTAATCCCAGGACTCAGAGAGGTAGATGGATCTCTGTTAGTTCAAAGCCACCACGGCCCTACACAAGAGTGAAGGGTAACAGAGCTCATGCCTTTAATCCCAGCATTAGGGAGGCATATAAGACAGGAGCAGGGTCTCAGAGCTAGTATTCAGTCTCAGGATTCTCCAGCCACATCGAGGAGAGCAAAGCAGTCTAGGATTACAGTCTGAGGAGCCAGGATGACCTTTCAGTCCGAGGCAGAGGTAAGAGCTAGTGGCCAGCTGCTTTGCTTTCCTGATCTTCAGCTGAAGCCTGAACCCCACTCTCCGTGTCTCTGTCTTTTTATGTTTCATGTTATACCTGTCTGTGCCCCAGGATTCACAAAGTGGTGTGCAGGGGGACCCTTGGACAGAGCCCACTAATCCCAGCTCCCAGACCCCACAGCTGGGTCAGCAGCTGGCTTGGGGAAAATGGAGATGTGGAGGTTTGATTTTCTGGGTGGTAAACACAGCCCTTGTTATCACTTAGGGCTGAGCAGGGTAAGGTGCCTACAAGTACTTTGAAGCCTATCAAGTTCAAAACAGACACGGCCTGGTCTTCTTTTCCTTGTTAGCTCCTGCCACCTACAGGCCAGGTCAAGCACAAGGTCAAGTTCAGGCAGGGCTGGGCTGGGATTCCCCACAAATCAGTCTCCTGCCTCCACTCACCGGCCTCTGGGCAAGCACTGCCTTTCTTTAATGCTGAAATCCAGGCCACGCCCACTCATCTCTCAACTTACTTCTGGGGAAGCTGGTGCATAAGCCATGACCCCTCCTTAAACCAGTTCCCCTAGCCCTCAACAAAGGCAGCTCTGGGACTGGCTTCAGCTAACATTTTCTGTGACTCCTTGGAAAAGACCAGAATGGGAAGAAAACGAGAGAAAGCTTAAGGCTTAGCATATCAAGCTCATTTTAGGGCACAGCTCCTGTACCCTACAGCTGACGGAAGGCCATCCACTCCGACGGCGGCAGGACGCTCCACAGGCAGGCTGGAGAACACACTTTACTCGGGACAGCCAAGTAGGCACAGGAGGAGAAACACAGTTCTACTTCCATCTCCTGTGGTGAGAGTTTCTCAGCTGAGGGGCTAGCGAGCCGGTTCAGCAGACAGAAGGTGACCCGAGTCGGATCCCGGACTCCCCGGGGTGGGAGGGGAAACACAGACTACAGCAAGCTGTCGACTGATATCCACACACAGACCACGGCATGTGCACACACGTGCATACACATGCACGGGTGCTCCCTGCCATACATGAATCGTGATGCGAAAGCCCCGACAGTTTCTAGGATGACCGCCACGTCTCAAACTTGCTGTGGCCCTTATATGCTAGCTGACATCAGTGCATTCGTGGTAAACAAAAGCAGTGAGCCTCCCTTGTGAGGCAAAAGGGTAGGGCGAGAATGTTAACCGGGAAATCAGAGGCCTCTGCTTCCGTAGTGTAGAACCTGGAACGTTACCTCCCTGTTTTAAAAGGCAGCTATTAATTTATCTGGTTAGAAAAAAATAAAAAAAGGGAACTGGGGAATAAAGACACACATGCTGCAAAGACAATAATGCGTGGTTACAAAAGGCACCTAAAA